TCTCCTACCTGAGAATATGCTATGCTACATGGCAAAAATGACTTTGCAAATGTAAATAAGGTGACCGACATTTAAGTAGTCAGATTATTTTGGATTATCCAAGTGAGTCCAGTATAATTACATGACCCCTTAAAAACCAATCACTTCTCCAGCCAAAGGTAGAGAGATATTACACAAGGATTACTCAGAGAAATTCAAAGGGTGACAATAACTCAATTAGTCACTGCTGGAGGGATTCATATAGAGAGCATAAGAGAGCTGGAGTGTAGCCTCTAGGAGAAAAAACTGATTCCCAACCAACAGCCACAAAGGAAAGAGTGATGCGAGTCCTACAACTACAAAAAACTGATTTTTGCCCACAACCTAAATAAGTTTGGAAACAGAACTTTCCTCAGAACCTCCAGTAGGAAATACAGACCTATCCCTATCTTAGTTTTAACCTTGCAAGACCTGAAGCATGGAAACCAGCTAACCCCACCTAAACTTCTGACCTGGGAAACTCTTAAGTTAAAATGTAGGAGTTCTTGCAGGCTGCCAAGTTTATGGAAATTTGTTACATTAGGAATGAAAATCTAATACAAAGATTTCCTTAGAAATAAACATCATCCCTTAGAAATAAGCATGATGCTTTAGAAATAAACATTCCATCTTACACAATATATGTATATGTTTTATTGTTCTTTCATTACACAATATACGTGTATGTTTTATTATAGCTATTTGTATTCCTTCTTACATAATATATGTTTTATGACAGTTATTTGTGTGTACATTTTTTAATCTTAGGACCTATAAATAACTTGTGGCAGGTGTTCTTTAAGCTTGTTAGTATTCCAGGCTTTCTAAACTCACCAACATGAAATATATGGCAGATTTGTTTCCCACAGAAAACCACAATAACTTCTCCCACCCCATATGTGTGTCTACAGTGTGATTTGCAGCTTAACCATCACGAGTGAAGTTGAATCTTTCACCAACTTAAAACCAGGTGGCCTCTTTAGGTTGGCTTTGAACAACAGCAACAGAGGCAGAAATGACTCTGGGTATAGTTCTTAATGGACGTCTTAGCTTCTATTTCCTGCCTCATGAAAAATTTAACTATCCTAAGACCACTAATTTGTGAGAAACTTTAGTTGCATGGAAAGGTCCAGAAGTTAAGACAACATAAAACCTTTGTGTTGGGGGAATGGGGTGCGAGACGGGATAGGGAAGGGGGAGAGAGAGAAAAAAAAGAGAGAGAGAGAGAATAAAGAATATCGATTCACCAGATATGTGAAAGGGGAAGCCGCGTGGGAACAGTATCGTCCAGTCACAGCTGACTCAGCTGACACCAAAAGAATCACAGACAAACTGCTCAGCCTAGTTCTTTCCAAATCTTTTACCCTCAAATTATGAGCAAATCAAAATGGTCAGTAAGTTTGGGAGCAATCTGTTACATGATCATAGATAGCTGAATAGACTCATTTGAAAAGGACTCTAGCTATTAAAAAAAATATCAATTCTCTGCCTCTGGAGGTAGAGCAAATATATTCTTGGTCTTGCAATTATATGTCAAGGAGTGTTAAAAAACAAAAACATAAACTTTAGACAAATTAAATTTAGCAGAGTTTATTTGAACAAAGTACAATTCATGAATCAGGCAGAATTCATACCCAGGAAAGGTTTAAGAAACTTCACCCAGGTGTGTGAACAGCTGGCTTTTACAGCTTAGACACAGGCAAAGTACAGAGGTCACCTGGTTGTTCACAGCTAGGTGTCGGCATTATTTGGGCGTGGTCTCATGAGTTAGCTGGCCTGTGATTGGCTGAATCTTGGCTGTTTGTTATATTTCTAATTTAGGTTTCAGACTGTTATCTAGGAATTCAAAGTATAAAGAGAGCCTTAAGCTAATGGTGTCTTACTAATTTATCAGGAGTCTGTCTTCTGGCCAAAAACTTTTGTGTGATATTTTAGGCCTGATCACAGTCCTGGCAAACCTCATGGGGCAGAGTTACCTCCTCTATACCAGGCTTGGCAGCCAGCCAGTGTACTTTGGTCTGTGATAGGAGTTTCAGTCAAGGACTCAGCCTTCCATGGCTGGCCATGCTCTTAGGCATACCTGTATTACTAACTACATTAGTCCGTTTTCACACTGCTATAAAGACATGCCTGAGACTGGGTAATTTATAAAGAAAATAGGTTTCATTGACTTACAGTTTCACATGGTTGGGAAGGCCTCAGGAAACTTACACTCATGGCAGAAGGGGAAGAGGCACTTCTTCCATGGTGGCAGGTGGAGAGAGAGCCTGAAGGGAGGAAGAGCCCTATACTTATCAAGCAACCAAATCTCATGAGAACTCACTCACTATCATGAGAAGAGCATGATGGAAACCACTGCTATGATCCAATCACCTCCCTCCCTCCACACGTGTGGATTATAATTCCAGATAAGATTTGGTTGAGGACACAGAGCCAAACCATATCACTAATCAGTTGCCTTCCTTCTAAGACTTCTTTCTCTGGGACCTTTGGCTGAGGCTTTCCTCTGGCACCTCTGCTGAGACTTCCTAATTAGAGCAGGAAGAGAAAAAGTTGAAACTCTTGTCTACTCTTCATATCCAGTAGTTTTCCACTCCCTGTCCTTCCCACACAATTTCCTATAACTCCAGGGTCCATAAAACTGAAAGAACCTCTTACTGGGGTTCTCTCAACAGTGAGACAATCCTCTAGTCTCTGCCTGTGCTGATCTCTCTCACCCTCTATCAGTGCACCATTCCATGTAGGAAAATGAAATAGGTGGAGTTGGAGCTTTCTCTGCTTAAGCCTCTTGCTTGTAACATCACAGTAACTGATTGAAGGATTGACCATTGCTTTCATAGTTTGCTTCTTAATTGACAGCTGACATCTGAGATCTTTCTCCCCAACACAGCTGAGCCTGTGAAATGTTAATGGTAACTATAGCTGGTTGAATTAGGGTATTTTACGTTATGCTACTATAATTTGTATTGAAACGTCAATCCCCAAATTTCAGCAGTCAAAATAAAAGCTTACTTCTCAGCCAGGTTATAATTCCTTTACTGAGTGTCAGTAATGACTGTTCAACATAATTCCTGAGGGATCAATGAAGACAAAATAGCTATTGTTCCATCTTTGGTGGTTACTATGTGAGAGGCAAAGAATGTTCTAGAGGGTCTTACACTGTCACTTAAATACTGTGGCCTAGAAATGGCACTGATCTATTTTGCTCACCCACCATGTTTTAATTACAGGTATCAGTCAACTGGAAAGGGGCCATGGAATACAATCATGTCATGTTTCTGGAGTGTGGGAATCAGAAATATTTGGCAGCCAATTCTTAATACTATGCCTCTGAAAGTGGCTTTCACATATATACCCATTTGTTTCCCTTAGAACTTGTTTCATCTACTTCCTGTACACTTCACAGATTATTTAGTGTGAGGTTCCATGGGTTCTAGGGAGTCATCTTCTGATTAAAGGTAAAGTTTAATACATCATTCCCAAGTCTGGATCCTCACAGTTCTCCCTAAGCCTGGTTCCTGTTCAGCAAAAGCATCTCCTTCTCCTCAACTGGTCCACTTTACACAGGTCTATCAGACAAGAAATTTTAACTTACATGGAGTCTCATTGATTAATTTATTTTTCATACCAACTCACAAAAAGGGGAGAGGGTCATTTGGAGACTTAAGTTCATTTTATTTTGCCTAAAAAATGAATTTTCCTATTTGTCAGGCATGAGTTAATCATTAGCAGAATGAATTATAAATACCAGTATATCCATTACAGATCTTAGTTTTTAAAAGGAAATGGAGGCTGGGCATGGTGGCTCACACCTATAATCCCAGCACTTTGGGAGGCTGAGGTGGGCAGATCACCTGTGGTTGGGAGTTGGAGACCAGCCTGACCAACATGGAGAAACCCATCTCCACTAAAAATACAAAATTAGCCATGCGTGGTGGTTCATGCCTGTAATCCCAGCTACTTAGAAGGCTGAGGCAGGAGAATCGCTTGAACCCAGGAGGTGGAGGTTGCAGTTAGCCTAGATGGTGCCATTGCACTCCAGCCTGGGCATCAAGAAGGAAACTCCATCTCAAAAAGAAAACAAATCAAAAGAAATGTGGACCTTAGACAATTCAGTCAAAGGCAACTGTAATCAGCAGATGGAGTAAACTTTTTGAACATGGGCTGTAAACATGTTAACACTAATGATTAGCAAGAAGGATTCACGATAATGCTTTTGAGACAGAAAGCTCGGTTGAGGTTTATTTTCTAAGACCTGTAAACTTAAAAAGAAATCATACAAACAAAATCTGTAAGTCTAGAAAATGAGAAGGATATTTTATTTCTTACAAAGGGTAGCAGCCTGCAAAGAGACCATCTGCAGGCTGGAAAGTAAAGCATCTGTCTGGCCAAAGTCCAGAGATAGGCACCTCAAATGAGGAGGGAGTGAGGTAGGAGATTTATGTCAAAAAGGCTGGTCAAACATACATATTCAACTGGTTACAGGAAGAGCTATGAATATTGGTGAAGGTGGTTCTGACACATGCATATTGAACAAATGTGTATGTAACATACAATTCATGTTCATCTTGGGGTGAGGACATAACATTAAAATGTACTATGATTAGGTCCTTGTTAGTCAGTTTTGCCTTGCTGTAAAGGAATACCTGAGGCTGGGCAATTTACAAAGAAAAGAGGTTTATTTGGCTCATGGTTCTGCAGGCAGTATAAGCATGGCACCAACATCTGCTTGCTTCTTGTGAGGCCTCAGGAAGCTTACAATCATGGTGAGAGGCAGATGGGGAGCTAACATGTCACATAGCAAGAGGGAGCGAGAGACAGAAGGAGGTGCCAGCCTCTTGAAAACAACCAGATCTTGCATGAACTCATAGAGGGAGAATTTACTCATTCCCCAATGAAGACACCAAGTCATTCATGAGGAATCCACTCCCACAATCCAAACACCTCCCACTAGGCCCACTTCCAACACTGGATATTAAAAGATCTTTTCAGGACATGAAGTTACACAAGTGTGCAATCTCTGTAAACTGGCCAGGACCAGGCGTGGTTGGTGGTCTTCTTACCAGGAGAAAGTTATTGAATTTAGACACCTGCCCAGTTAAAAGTTACTGAATGTAGTCAGCTTCTGTGAGCTGGATGAGTTGCAAGTATTTTAATATTGCTTATCTTGAGGACAGTACTTACTTAGTTGCTAGAGAGAAAGTAAAACTTTGTGGCCATTAGAACATAGCTTATGTTTTGTAGTTTAAGTATAGGGATGTGCAACTGAATTGCCTGATGTGGCCTTAAATCTTGTTTAAAATTTGATATCTTATGCCACAAAGAGCCCATTCCATCAGTCTTATGATCTCTATCTTTTCATTAATGCTGGTCAGATGTGTTGAAACCACAAAAAAGAGGGGCTTATAACAATGTGTGTCTGACCTCTGATGGGCACTAAGCTTTTAAGTCATTTCTGGGGTTTCCCTGGCTGAGGGGACAACCATGCAGTCAGTGGGGATAGGGGGTTAAGATTTTATTTTCAGTTTACAAAAGCATTTACTCAAAGCCATTTCCTTTCTTTTTTCTTGGTTATGCTGCAAAAGTTTAAGATTTTTACCCATTCCACAATTTATCTATATATCAAAAATCAATTTGTGGCCAGGCGCTGTGTCTCACTCCTACAATCCCAGCACTTTGGGAGACCAAGGCGGGTGGATCACGAGGTCAGATCGTGACCATCCTGACCAAAATGGTGAAACCCTGTCTCTACTAAAGATATATAAATTAACCAGGCATGGTGGCGTGTGCCTGTAATCCTAGCTATTCAGGAGGCTGAGACAGGAGAATCGCTTGAACCCAGTAGGCGGAGGCTGCAGTCAGCCGAGAACGCGCCACTGAACTCCAGCAGGGTGACAGAGTGAGACTCTGCCTCAAAAAATATATATCAATTTGTACACCATGTATATAGAGTACAAAATGGAATATATATAGGTACATATATATGGAATTGCTATGTATGTATGTTCATATATTTAAACATATACTTATATGTACATACATATATACATGCACAGTAATTCCAGTAAGCTAGTTGGAGATTTAAAAATTTATATATTTTTATATATTTATATATGTATATATAAATATATATAAATTAAATATAATTATATGTTATATATAATATAATTATATATGATATCTATATATATCTATATATAGATATATAGATATATATAAATTTAAAAATCTCCAGCTAGGTCATCTGAATTACTATGTATTAATTATGGTCTGGGAGCAGTTGAAAGGGTTGGAAAAATTAACGTAACAGAGGGATACTCTAGGGACACCCTTAGGATTCTACCCTGTGAGAATAGGCACCTAGATTTACAACTCTATCAAGTCTACACAAATTGAGAAGCAGTGACTCTCTGGATTAAAACACCTTGAGTTGGAAATGGTGACTGAAAAGCAACAAATATCAACTACTGCTAGGGAGTACAATTTGCTCAAGGCCAACTTTTACTGACAAGTACAAAGTTTTCCCTAATTCATTTACTGAAAATACGGCATTCTAAGACAAAACATATTTAGCATGACCTTCAGTTTTCCTTTTCTCAAGGTGGTATGAACAAAGTAATATGCTACAGAAAATTCTCCATACCCTTGCCGGGAGAGACTGCCATGCTCATTTGGGTATGTCCCCTGTGACTCGCTCACTGACTAAACGCCTGAGCCAAAGTCACTTCCTATGATGACAGCAGGTTATTGGCAAATCGCCACAGAAATATCATCACAGTGAGGCTGATACTAAATTAGGACAAGGCTATTTGGCTTGATCGAAGCTGAAGCTATTTTTCTGTCATATAATAGATCTTTTATCAGTACCCTTCAAGAAATTGCCCAAAAGCATCAACTATATTATTCTTTCAGAAACTTGGTCAGACAAAGGAACTATTTCAAAATAAAAAGTGAAGTATATTCTTTCATTCGGAAATAAAGTAAATCCCATGTTATTTTCTAAAACAAATAGTGTATTGATTATGAAAAATGCCTTCTTGCATTGGACGTAGTCCATAAATACACATAATTGGAAAGCTCTAAAATCTGTGAATATGGTGGAGTAGTCATTTCAGATGCAGTGATTGCAACATGTAGGATTAAAGTAATACAGGCTTACAGAGACCTATGAAATCCTCTGAAGCCTGCATCTTTCGCCCCATAATAACTTAAATAATTTTAAAGGAAATACACTAATTACTGGAAGATTCTGTCACTTAAAGATGAATCAGTCTTGACTTTCCCATACAATTCAGATGCTTTTAAAATTTTTCCTGTTTAGTTCATTGATTTTGATCAATAGCAAAATAGTTGATTTGGTTCTCCCTAACAAATATCAGAATGAAACAATAGGAGGTTATTTAGATCAGAGCAAATGGGCTTAACTACTAATTTAATATAGTCAACTAGATCTGAAGTTGGTTGAAAGCAGTCACCTTTATTATTTTTTCCCAAATGCTTTAGTAATTTGTCAAAAAATCATAAAAAGTAAATAATGAAATTAGATGTAGAATGCAGACCTTGTGAACCCAAATCTAGAGCTCAGAATCAATAAATTTTGCAAAATATCGGTACACTTTGTAAAAACATTTATGTTATAAATTTTGAGAATGAGTGCTTTTTAATGCTTATATGCAAATAATACAATTAAATAGAAAAATAAAATTTTGAAACATAGAAGTTGATATGACCTGACCAACTCTCAGTTGCCCTCCTATTAAAATGAGCTTTATAATATGGACATAAATGGAGTAATATGTGTTATAACAACTGGAAGAAATGCAGATCAACAGTAAGGTTGTCTTTTCCTTCCTGACGTTTCCTGTTCTTTCTTCCTTGATCTTTCTTTTGTTTTTGTGCCCTGCTTTCTTCCTTTTTGTTTTGTCATCCTTTTTTTAAAATTTTCCTTTCTTCCCTTTTAATAAATTATTATATTTAATTTTTAATATTTAATGTATATTTTAAGCCTAGAGAAATCATTTAATCATTCACAAGTGAGCTTTGAGCACTTTTCAAAGCTGACAAATTCTATAAAAAGGGAGTTTTGTTTTTAATACTCTTGTTACTATTTTATATTTACATTTTGAAACACTTTTGAAACATTTATGCTTTACTGATTATCTAATTTAATCCATCAACCAGTATTAGTTGGGTAGCTAGTGAACACCAAGAAGGCCCTGAATATGGTCAGTTGTGTTAATGAATCTTGAGTACTTTAATGCAAACATCCAGGTGTTTAATTGATTCCTAATCTACATGCAAACAATTTCATTGTTACTAAGGTTAGACATGTTGCATAAGTTTTAAGTCTTTTTCAAGTTGGACAAGCCTTTTCAAGTTAATGATATAAATACAATTCACTAAATCATCATGTTAATTGTCTACTAAATTTATATTGATTGTTCTGTCCTTTTTCCATGTTAACAAAAAATTTACATTGAAGTTAACATTATAGAAACATGAATACTTCTTCAATTTGAAATAAATGAATTTAATTCATCACTAGATGGCACTCTAAATTTAGACTGTGATATGTTTCTTCAAATAGAAGCTACATGTGTTTTATAAGGAATAATTCATTTTATAAACAAAAATTTTACCCCCTTGTTCATACACAAAGTTTAGAATTACCTTTCTATCTATCAAGAGTAACAAAGAAAATCTACAACATGTCATAAAAAGTAGAAAAGCAGCTACCAATACAATAGCATATACAGACTGGATTATAAAGAGAATATGATGGCTACGTGAAAACATTTCTCATATATGTTTGAATCTTTGTAATTTATCATTTTAGGACTTAATTTTTCTATATACAATAATCCAGAAAGTTTTAAAGTGTCCTTATTTTTGTAAATCTAAAATTTATGACTTACCCACCTTTAAAAAACTGCTTTCCTTCTTAAAAGTTAGTCAAAATTCAGTATCCACAGGTTCCCTCTGCAGGTTCAACCAATTGCAGATCAAAAATAGTAGCAAAAATTAAAAAAACAACTAAAATAGACAAATAAAAACACAGTATAAGAACTATTTACAAATCATTTACAGTATATTCGTTATTATAAGTAATCCAGAAGTGATTTAAAGATATCCATAGATTATGTGCAAATACTATTCAATTTTATGTAAGGGATATGCGCATGCTCACATTTGGTCCCAGAACCAATCCCTGGCAGATATAGAATAAATGTATTTTTATTTGTAAAAAATATATAACCATGATGGATACAATAAAAATGAATGTATGTCTGCTAAAACATGCCTTTTGTGTCAGATGTAAATTGTATGTAGACTGCCTCAAATACAACTTGTATAGTTCCTTTTCTCCTAGATGTTAGAAGCTGTACATATTTTTCATTTTGCTAGAGAAGATTTTTAGCTTCCTAAGAAGACTAAACACTTTCTTGTGTTACTTTCATTTGTAAGTGATGACATCCCACATAAAATCATAAGAATGAACATTTAGAAATGTAATTCTGACCATTTGAAAAGTATCAGGCGAATGATCCTATGACCCCTGTATAATTGAAGCAATCAACTCTTCTCTGTTCAGGGACCATGGCCTGGATGGTGAGCATATGGGGTGCTGAGGTGGCTCGGCCTCATATTCAGACTGTCAATTACACTGCATTAAGGAACACTTCTAGCAGGGCGAAAGCCACTGCAAGAGTAAAGCAGGCGTTTAAAGATAGGTGACATTAAAAAATATCCTATATTAGAAGTCCAAATTTCCATGGATGAAAGTCAATATATTTTGCTCTTATTCTATGCTAAGGTCATGACTCCAATTATTATGTAAAAATGGGTTTCTCAGAATAATTTTGGCTTTGCTGACGACTATGTTTTTTTTTTTTTCTCTTATCCTGACTACACAGTAAAGATTGACTCTAATTCTCTGGGTCAGATATGGGGACAAATGACTATTATATTCTTGTTTTCCACATCAGAGAATGAGATCTTTGAATACTATTTCTTCTGGATAAATGAAAAAACAAGTATATTAATGTTGAATTTCTGCA